GATCGCCTCGTTGTTTCCCGCGTGGACACGTTTTCACGTGTTGCCACGTGGTGCTGTCGACCCGGCCGCGCTGTGTGATTAAATTTTATTATTTTCACTTTTACCTTAATTTTTTAGATTTTTTTTTAAATAGATCCTTTCTTATTTGTACTTTAACATTGATTTTTGAAAATATTTTCAAATACATCCAAAACAAAATTTTCTTAAAAATTTATTTTTTTATTATGATTTAACTATCTCGGGCCTAAATTTATTTTCTTAAAAATTTATTTTTTTATTATGATTTAACTATTTCCGACCTAAATTTTGGACCCGGGTGTTACAAAACTATCCAGAGACTCCCTATTCCTGAAAGAGTTCATTATGTGCATGATGATATCGGATCGTCATAAAATATTCTCTCCTATAAAAATTAAAATTTATTTTTATAACAACATTCAGAAATACGGTATTCAAAACTAATTTTTGTTAAATCTAATTAGTCTAATTAATCCGGTGAAAAGTAAATTACCCCACCGTGTTAAATTAGTAGGGTGGGGCCAACGGAATTTGGAATACTAAAATTCGATTTTGACTTTTTAGTTTCTAATGAACTTTCCACTTTTAAACTTTTTAAATTACAACACAAACCACATCCCTCCCTTCCTAACTTTTCAACTATTAAAAAAACTTACCACGGTTAATTCAGTCACTGTAAAAAAATATTTCACTCCAAAACTGCAGCTAAAATAATTACTTACTAAAATATTTTTCTTAAAAACAAGTTTATAAGTCATAATTGCAAATTGTACCAAACTCCATTACAAACAAACCTAATGCTTTATCTTTTTACCTTTGCTTAGTTTACATATCAATTACTATATATATATATATATGTATATATGTGTGTATGTATATAATAATTTATGCACATTTCTTTGTAAACCTATCATTTTAACCATAAAAAGATTTGTTTAACTAATTATTTAAATTTAATTTGATACGATCGAAGTACAAATCATAAATTTTACTACAATTTACCAGATATTTCATTTATAATTTCGCCTTTTAACTTAACTATGTTAATAATTAAATAAAAATCAATTAAATTAAACTTTATAAAATTATGTACGTACTTTTTCTTGTTCGTTTAAATCAAAAAATTAAACTAAGTAAATACCAATTTAGGCTAAACATAATCGAGGTATAATTTTTTTTTCTTCTCTTTATTGACATTTTTTTTGGATTATCTAAGATTAATGTAATTTTAAAGTTCAAAATTTGATAATATAAAGTAGATGTATATATATATATATATATATATAATAGAGTTAAAAATATTTGAAATGGAGGCTTTGAAGTTACTACGAGAATAAAG